TAAAATGGTTCATTGATATAAGTATAAAACATAGGCACTGTGGTAGAGTATAACTCCATTATGGATAAGATTTTATTTTGATAAATCACACAGTGTTATACAGTAATATTAACTGATGACCACGTTTCGAGTACAAACTATTGCTCATAATCTTATCAAGTTACTCACACAACTTTTTTTCCTACATTTATATACATGAGTGAAATTGACGATTAGACATTTGAATAAAAATCAAATAATATAGGATAAAGTACATTCAGAAATAATAATATGAGTGTTATTGATCATTTACAATCAGATGGGAAATAAGACGAGTGTTTTTATAGTCAAAATAAGTAACTTGATAGAATGTTATGATGTGTTTGAATTGAAATAGGATTTTTAGATTATTTATTATCCTCTTCGGTAATAATATCTTTCTGGTATTTCTGGTATTTGCAAATATCTAGTCAATTCCATACATGTGTATAAATGAATGTGTGAGTAACCTGATATGATTATGAGCAATAGTTTGTGCTCGAAACGTGGTCATCAGTTAATATTAATGTATAACATCACTGTGTGATATATCAAAATAAAATCTTATCCATAATGGAATAAAATGGTTCACCCACACAAAAAACTTGGACGATCTGGATTTCGCCGGTGATATATGTGTCTGATTTCACACAAAGCGGAAGATATACAAGTGAAAAGCAACAAGTTGGCCAGAGAAGAAGCATAAAAAATAAGACTCCCTTCAGGAGGACATAGAGAAAACAGAAGTGATGAAGATTCCTGGCCAACAGCAACAACCGTCACAACAACAAAAACAACAACAACGGACAACAATCAGCATAAATGGGAGGAATCTAAAGGAAGCAACCTTCTTTACTTACCTACCTACCTACCTTCATGGGAAGCATCGTTTTAACTACAGGCGGACGGAACTGATGAGGATATCAAAGCGAGGATCCGAAAAGCAAGGCAAGCTATCATTACTCTCAAGTCTGTGTGGAGGTCAACAGCACTCAAAATGAAAATGAGAATAAGGTCCGGATTTTCAACTCCAATATGAAGTTAGGGCTCCTTACTGTACGGATCAGGGACTTTCCACGTCACGTCAAACAAACTATAGACCTTCATCAACATCTGTCTTTGCTTTACTGAGAAGGGCACTAAAAGCCGTTAGTAGGGCAAGTGGGATATCGTTAAACCAACCAACTGGTTAACACTATTGTGGACAGACATATAATGTCATATAAGAAACTAACGAATACAATATTGTCAGACTTCGAGAATCCTCTCTATACGCAGCTCTCTCCTTGCATTTTATCTGGTAGAACTAGAAGCAGCTATAGGAGGCTGGCTATATGCTAGGACTACCAAGTACAAAAACTTCACAATACCTTATCTGGCACAGCTGTTATGTGATGAGAAATCCGTTAGGTATGACACGATAAACTTACTGTGGCACTCTAACAAATAGTCCTATCATTTTTTGTTTTCCTTTCCTCGTTACTATTACACTGTTGTTCTCATCTTCGATCACACATCAACTTTATATTTCATATCCTGTGGTGCATTGTTTAAAGTGTAAACGTAACGCTGTTTTTTTATCTTTCATTCTTTTTTGGCGTTGGTTTTCATTTATTTATTTACTTATTTTTTTTTATTTTAAAAATCTTATAAAATTTATGAGGTGATTAGATGCAATATATTGTAATGCACTCTGAAAATTCCATACCTGTACCACAAATACCGTTTGGAATAAAGCTGTTATTCTTCTTCTTCTTAATACTACTCAAGATCAGGCGACCAGCCAGAAAAGATAAGCAACAGGGATCTCTGGAACCAATTGTGCAACAAATATGCAGGAAGCAATGGAGGTAGATAGGCCATACTCCGTGAGAAAACAAACCATCATCAAGTGACATGCATCACACTCCAGGCTATCGCTCGAGTGGAATGTGAATGGGAAGTGGAGAGTTTGTCGTCAGTTCGAGGTTGACATAAAGGAGGTCATTTAAAGAGGAGATGAAAGCATGTAGGTAGACATGGAGCCAGCTGGAAATTTTGATGGGGAACCAAACGCAATGGAGACGTTCGGCTGAAGCCCTTTACTCCTCTAGGAACTAAAGGAAACAATAATAATAATATTATCAATCTTACCCTGTTATGTTCTATTTTAATACCGTCATCTTTCCTCATGATATCGCATAGTTGTAGATGATTGCCTGTAGTACTATAACTGAGCTAGTCTCCAGATTTCTAATCTTATTCGGTTCAACTAATCTACATTTTGCTAGTATTTTGGTGCTCCACTGGTCTGACTGCCTCCATTCTACTACTACGAACTATGAATTTGACTTGACAATCACTGCAAGGTATTTTGCTATCCCTGTCTCTGTCTGTCTGTTTTCGACATAGAACTTTGCACAAATGTGCGGAAGTTCAAGTCGCCACACTCCGTGTAGCACGCGAAGCAAGAGAAGAAAGTACAAGAAAAGCATAATAGAAACAGTGAGCGGAGGTGTGAGACAAAGGAGTAATAAAGAAAAACAAAACAGTTTCATTGAAGATCATAAGTCACAGGAGTGGATGCATCTGCGCCACTGAGAACGATTTTGAGCCATGTCACCAATTGTTTCCAACCATAGATTTTTACCGTCCCGAGGACCCCAACCAGTCAGGAAGTCTACACCTTCCTACGTGGCTTAGACCAACTGTTGTGGATTTCATTGACTGGTAAGGCCAAGTTTTTGTTTGACCGCCGCTAGCTTTTTTCCAGCCTGACCCTATATCCGCTAACATTGCTCTCGGTCGAGGGAGGCGATGGCTTGGCATACGTAACACATGTCCTAACCATCTCAGTCTTTGTAGCTTCACGACTTCGTCGATTGATTTCCCCTGTTTACCTAGAACTCTACGCCTAACCTCAATGTTGCTCACCTTATTATGCCACTTTACACGGGAAATAGAACGCAGGCACCTATGATCAAAGACAGCTAGTCTTTTCATGTCTTCCACTCTCAGTGGCCAGGTCTCACAACCATAAAGGAGGACGGAGCGGACTGATGAGCAGTACACCCGCCCTTTGGTCGATAGTCGAACATCTCGTCTACGCCAGAGTCGGCGTAAACTGGCAAATGCGAAACGAGCCCCCTGTATTCGTGCTGAGATTTCGTCAGAGATCAACCCGTTGGCACTGGCTGATGGTACTTCCCAAATAAGTGAAGCGGTCAACGTGCTCTACCACTTCACTTCCTATTTTTAAACTAGGCGTCGATGTAGTCCAGTCCTGTAACATCATCTTGCATTTGGCGGGAGCGAATCGCATGCCAAACATTCGTAGATTGCGGCTCAAGGTGTTTAGAAGACTCTGCATTTCGTCAGCGTCTTCGCCTAGAAGGACTATATCGTCTGCATATTCCAAGTCAACGAGATTATTCCTCGGTAGCAAGTCAATCCCTGAGTCGCTGAAGTCACCTAGGGTTAAGTCCATTAACACATCTATGATGAAGTTGAATAGAAAAGGAGATAATGGGCATCCTTGACGGACACCACTGGTCGTCATCAGTTCAGATGACAGCTCGCCGTAAGCCCTCACCTGGCTGTATGAGTACGAGTAGAGTGCCTTAATCAGTGCAATATATTTTCTTGGAATTCCCTTTACAGCCAAGCATCTCCAGAGAACTTCCCGATCGACAGAGTCGAATGCTGCCTTTAGGTCAAGAAATATAATGACTGTTGGACGCCGGTAGGAATTCCTATGTTCTAGAATCTGTCGGAGGGTGAAGATATGATCAATACACCCTCTTCCTGGTCTAAAGCCTGCCTGGCTCTCTCGTGTTTGTGTCTCCCGAGCACCACTCAGTCTACGCATGATTATTGAGCCTAAGACTTTAGATACTATATTAGTCAAGCTAATCCCTCTGTGATTATCACAGGAAGACTTGTCTCCCTTCTTGTATATGGGGATAATCAGTGACTTACACCAACCCGATGGGACTTCTTCTGATTCCCAGACGCTGCCTAGTACCTCAGTTAATGCAGACAGTAAGCTGTCTCCACCGTACTTAAATACCTCTGGAGTCATTCCATCAGGTCCCGCTGCTTTGCCTAGTTTCAGATTGGTGACAGCTTTAGTAACCTCAGTTAGGGATGGAGGACCTGTGTCTATATCCCATTCAGGGAGGTGTTGGATGCTCGGAAGGTTGAGCGTGGCTGTGGGCCAATTAAACTGCTCCTCATAATGCTCTTTCCAACGATCCAGTCGTCTATCCTGTGAGCTAATTATAGTGCCATTTTTTTCCGAGATTGTCTCACTGATGATTTGTCTTCTCCCACCCGTTTCCCTGATGAGTCTAAAGAGTTGCCTGGTGTTGCCTATCCTCGAAGCTTTCTCCATCTCTTTGGCTTTTGTCAGCCACCACTGTTCACGGTCCTTGCGGAGACTTTTCGTAAGTTTCCTCTTGTGCAGCTTTCGCTATCCCTAGAACGAATGGGAAGGAATAAAGGAAACTGTAAAACTCAGGTTTCGAGGTTGTGATTATAACTGTTGTGTTTATGAACAATAAATTGTATTTGAAACGTCATCCAGTGACTAATACTGTTTCTCTGTGTGATATATATGAAATAAACAAATTAATATGTAAAGTAATAAATTGTTCTCGAAACGTTATCAGTAAATAAATAATACTGTGTACTTTTTATCCAGTTAAAGTCACACATGATGGAATTATACGCTAAACATAGTGACCAAATTCGATTGTTATATTAGTCTTTATGAATTTCTGAATTCCTACTCTCGAATATGTGAATGAATTCACCTCAAAGAGTAGAAAAAAGGATTAACCTTAAAACCACTACTATTTGTCTATCCATTGTGTCTATGATCGTAGTAAAATTTGATTGGTCAATAGTATTCTAACCAATCAGAAAGCTCCAATAAAGCAAACGACCTTGAACCAAGAATTAAACAGAGAATTTTTTAAATACACTTTAATTTCATCAATGTTATGGATCGTGGAGGTGACGACGAGGAGACCTCACTTATTATTATAGGCGCAGGCCTTGGTCGTACAGGAACTAATAGTCTAAAGATAGCATTAGAATTGCTTTATAAAAAACCATGTTATCATTTAAAAGAAATATACCTGCATCGACATTCACATATTGCAAAATGGATGGAATTAGATAAAAATCTTCGTGAATCACCTGATAAAAAGTTGGATAAAGCATTATGTCGTCAAATATTTCGAGGATATATAGCTGCTATTGATCATCCTGCGTGTGCATATTATAAAGAATTATTAGAGTTATATCCTAATGCAAAGGTTAGTTTCTATCCTGCCCACGTGTTTCATATATCATGCAGATAGTCTTTGTTCTTACTAATGGGTTTGATTTCCGTACTAGTTTTACTTTCTTGCAAATTTATGTAAATAAATAACTATTTTTATGTATTATTATGTAGATAGAGTCACATTAGCACACCGTCACTCTGTTCTCTGCAGTTATGTTTCATCTAGCTGCATAACTGTTCATAAGCTTTTATTTTCCCCTCATATGATATCCTCCATGTCACCCTTTGACTCACATCTAAATCGTCTTTGCCCCATCCGAGAGCCTACCTGATGTGTGAAGTCGTCGACTGTCTTCTCAGTGTATGTCCAGTCCATCTCCACCAACTTCTGTATCTTTGTTAGGCGATAGATTCCTGGTTAGTTCGTTGTCAGAGTCCCTTGTTGCTTATTCTCACTGTCTGGTCATGGAATCTTCAGTATCCAGCCCTCGAAGGTGTATGTTAATTAAGGTTTGTAACCTGTTGGAAATGCTTTTTGTGACACACTCGCCAAGTCTGAAACATAAGGAAGAAGATTTGGGTCTTGTTCCTTATGACTGACTTCAGAGCGGTTAAAGTCTCTTTTGCTATAGCATTCTCATGCGTACCTCTCGTATCTAAAACGCTACCGCCCAGGTGTAAGTAGGAGAAGTGACGTCCTTTGGACTTCTCTCTCTGAGGGTGATTCGTGTCCTCTGCGAAATCCAGATCCTCTAGAATCTTGTTGGTGTAGCGTATGCCCGTCTCTCTTGTCCCTCACAGTCTGTTATATGATATAGTACACCAAAATCAAGAATATCATCGGTGATAGTAAGCAGCCTTGTTTTACTCCCGTCTTCACTTTAAGCCCTTTACTGGGCTTCCCGTACACGTGAGTACGTCGGTATTTTGCCTCAAACTCGTGTTTTACTTGGCTACATCTAGATAACTTACACGTTCTTTCTCAGTGCAATAGTGTCACTTGATGGATTAGTGCTATATCGTAGCCTAGTCACTATTTAGTTTCAGCTAACTGGGGTATAGAATGAATACGTATGCCTATGTCCTAAACATCTATTGATGGAGGTTTAGGACTTCGTCAAATGACTTACCTAGAAAATCTCTAAGCTGAATTTTATAGATTCACCATGTGCATAACCATTCTTGGTTGTCGTCTTGTACCATGTCCCCCAAACACATGCACCAGTGACTCGAAATGTCGGAGTTCTGGTCATTGAGGCTTATTGTCTGATTTGACATGGGATCCAAAGCATTAAATGCTCCAATATGAAATTGGTAGCGTGGTTTTAAGAGAATATTAGTGATGATATTTTAGTGTTGATTGCTATTAGACATCCGAGAGTTTAGAGAAGTTTGAACACTTACCTTTGACTGGAAAAAGGCAGATGAAGGTGTGTGCTGATTAGAAAAGTCTCGTATGTTTATAGAAGTATGTTGATGGTTATTTCTTCTAGGTTATCGACACCGTGAAAGAGAAATAGTCGTAGTATTCTGTGACTTCAGAGCCTAGATGTTAACTGCTTAAGGCGGGTTATACACGGACCTATTTTGAAGTGGTTTTTAAAGTTATGTCCGTACTAAAATCTTACCATAGCCTGCGGACCGCCTTGAAGTAGGTCGGGTAGTAGAGTTTTAAGGGCTGACCTTTTCTAATCCACACTCCTCAACACAGAAAGACAGCACAGTTGGTTTACTGTTCGTCTGAAGGAAACATCGTACTGTTGTTACGTTGCTATTCTCCAGCAGTACTACTTCTCCCTCAGACCTCCAACATAATGCAAATGACACTATGCTGGTCACTTTACTTGAGTTCACATACGTGTGTAAAGACCCACGGGAAGCTGTCATCTGAATTTTGGGCAGCCACTTTACACTCAGAGTGCCAGCTGTCACTATTCTTATTTAGTTTTCTCATGTATCTATACAGATGGCTTTGTTTAACTTCGACTCTTCAAAAATTGACTTGCCACAGAAAATCCGTTTGACTTACGGTGAATAGAGGGTCTAGTTCTTTTGGTTGAAGATACCCCAGACAAAACAACATGAATACGTGTGGCATCTTCCACATCGTTGTCACGTATATAATGATTCCCATGGACTAGAAGTTTAGTCATTTGATGAACTCAAAAGCCTGCATCTCCCGCGTTAGCTAGAACATCCATATTAAGTATACCTACGTACCGTCTATTGGAGTATAGTATAGTATCTTATAAGCAGTACAGTTAGATTACAAGATATTTTGAGAGATATTCAGATCATTAAGTTATACCAGTTCACGAAGTTATCTATCTTGGTGAATTTTTGAACGTGTTCCACACTGTGGGAAGGTGTACAGATATTTTGACTATTCGGGCACTAGTAAACAGAAGACATTAGGTCTAAGTCGCTGTTATCTGGAGACCATAATATCTATCTTGTTCTAAAACATACTGGTGGACCTCAAAAGTACCTGCTGAATGTCCTCACTTGATGCAAATAGTCTTACAAAGATAGCGCCCGACCGGCAACTGCTACCTTGTTGTGGTGGTTGGGCTTGAATACCGCAATGACCCAAAAAGCTAAACTAGTTTGGACTTATGTTCCTTCAGGTCCTACCATGTCAGGAAGGTTGTTTGGATAGCGGTTAGACTAAAAGCAGTTATTATGGGGGGGGGGGGTAAATGGGCTCCAGGATCCAAACAGATCAAATGGAGTATGAATCTCTATTGGTCACCGTCAACCATGGGAACGTAGCTCCTAACACTGCTCCTCTGCCTTGCGGATTAGACTCCAAATCAAAAGCTAAGGGGATGGTCCCTTAAGACAACTACTTGCGTCGGTCTGGGCGCACAGGCAGTATCTCAGCCTTCGCAAAATCCATGAAATGAAACAATCAAGCAATCACAAAGACGGTGGCAAATAGATACAGCTTACAACAGGCAGTATTTTTGTTGGAATGGGGGGGGAGCACTCTATGACGTACACTGAAGGAGTCAGTTCTCCTACTGGACGGGTGCCGGTGTTAATTCTGATAAACGGAATGCCTTATGGCATCTTGAGGTCTACAAAATTCTTGGTTTTCACTCTGTTTTTGTGGATTTGGTAACTATTGCAAATATATTGTTAATGGTGGTGCAAACTTGATCTCTCTCTGTCACAGGTGGTTGTTTTACGCCAGATTTATGATTTTGATGTCTTCTTCCTTGTTATTTTGAAGGTATAAGCTGTAGCTGTTGTGTAGTGTTACATCTCATCTTGATAATCCTTGTCTGTTTATCACATCATAACTCCCACATATTACGCGTCCCATCGGTTATTAGTACACTATTATATGCCTGGTTACTAGGATGATCTATGGATATGCAAAGTATGTGTGGAAATCATATCTGCTGCGACCTTAAGTTCGCAACTTCACATTTTTCTTCCTTTCTTTGAGGTTTCAGTGAAAGAGAGGACTTCAAACCTGAGCGTTAAAGTTTCATTAGCGTTGTTTCTTTTACGACGTGGGATGGCTAGCCTCACCTAGCCCAATCTCCTCCCTTTACTGGGATTCCTACTGGCTAACATTCGGCAACCGAAGCAACTTGACGTTGCTCAACCTTATTGGCTTACCGTTCTGTACTCCAGTGTGTGGACTATATTTTATTAAATGTGGACTACTGTTTCGATATTTCTTAGCCTTGGTGAGTAAGACTTGATTCCTTTTCGGTTCTCTGCTGGTGAAAGTTGGTCTCACGGATCACTTCTATAATCTGTTAGTCACTATCAATAAGCAAATCGAATACCTTTGTCTTCCTCAGATATGTTCAGTACGTCGTATATGGCTTGGTCACTTTTGATTATGCGTATTTGGAATTCTCTATTAATAATCAGTCAGTAAATATTCTCTTTTTCTGAAACAATTATCTTACCCTCTTTTGAGATCCCAAATATTTGATCATGAAATTACGAAAAGAAAGCTTTCAGTCTAAAAAATAAATTTACGGATCTATATTTAAGACAATTAGTCGTTTATGAATCTAGATAAAGCAATAAGAAGACGTACTTTTTCCGAATCGTGTAATGTAGTATTTGCGCAACGCATTTCGAACAATCTAATTACACACACACGGAATTGTCATAGGAATATATATGAAATTAATACAGAGGTAAGAGGTGAGAAAATAGAAAATAAAATAGAAAAAATAGATCAGTTCATATAACTGTAAACACTGTGCGATTTATCAAAATAAAATCTTATCTATAATGGAGACTTAGGTCAAGTTAAAAGGACATATTAAAGACCAAAATAACAATGAAGATCAGTCACTAAACCAAATAACAGAAGTAATAGTACATCTACCCTGGCTGGTATCATAACAAAGTTCACCAAGGGAGGTTTAATGTGATGACGAATTGTTTTTTTTTTGAACGCATAAAGGTGGTTTAAACTTCCCAATTGCTAGGGCTTCCACAAACTTTAGGATACGCCCCAAACACCACTTAAAGATAGGTTTAAAAGGTGTGTAAACATCAAATTTTTGTCCTGTCTCTATAATATGTTTCTCAATAGAAGAGCTAGGTCTCCTGTTCTCACCATTAATGGGTTCTGAAGATTTCATTTGTTTCTGGAGCCATTTTTGAATATTCTCTGAAGCTAGCCCTTACTTACAGAGGTCGATGAGTCCTGTCTACGTATGTGTGTCCACACGTGCATTCAAATTGGTAAATACGGTACACGATTCAGACAAATTACGTCTTCTTATTGCTTTATCTAGATATATATTTATTTCCTCAATAACACATTATTATTATTACCTATAGTTGGTTTGTAAGGATTAGTTTTGTTTTTACGAATTGGTCACGGATTGATATCAGTTAAGAACCATTGAAAACCCACCAGGGAGTACTGGACAGTTAGCTGTTTCATCCTAGTTTGGGAATCATTGGCAGTACGCACCCACCACAGTGGGGTTCAAACCCAGGACCTTCTGGTTATTTATTTTTTTTGATTACAGCTTGATTCCACACTGT